AGTTGGTTTTCATGACTCAACAGTGTGGTGTACGTAAAAGTGGCCTATATACATTTGAGATTTTCGATATTTTTTCAGTAATTTCAGTAATTTAACTTCAAATCGGACCCTTTTACTATGTCAAGTTTCACGAGAATGTAATCATGTGATTATGTTATGATATATGATTGGCTAACAGCTGGCTAGTATCCCAGGCAATTAATTTGCATACAGCTACACTAGCCATCCAATGAGATTACTACACGTCGAGGTGAGACAGGTCAAGAACGAGAGCCAGGCTGGTTTCCTTGATAAATCGTAGTTACACTTCCATATATGGCACACGCTTCTTGGAAATGGAATGGCGGGCAGTTGACATTTCTAGAAAGTTGTAACGCACGGTAGATCTTGTGCCGACGTCTGAAGCTCATGAGGCCTAGCTTTGATGATATGTTTTAAGAACGTAAAACTGCAATATCAAGCCTCGATTTGCCTCATTAGCGCCATCTACAGTTATATTACCGACATTTATCGCACGTCAGTTCATGTCATGTGTTGCGATCTATTTTACGTTGTTTTGGCCGTGGAGCCAAGCTTAATAGGGCAGGAATGCGAAGGGGGATTCAGATGATTCAAGTAATTCCATATCGGCAATAAATATGAAATAAAGTAAAAGAAATAGAACATTTATCGATGGCTGGAATAACCAGTTACCTTGGGTTTTGTATGTTGATGTGGTCGAAGTTAAAGTGCACCATCCGTTCTCAGCACCCAAGTACACAAGCTTGTGATCGAAAACGACTTTTAACCATGGGTGTTCGAATTTCAGAATAGAGTATTTGAAAAAAGTCACATTATTTCATGTGTACATTAAGCTGTGTCCAGTCTGAGCACGAGTCTAACAAAGCTTTAGTCTTTTTCAACAGAGTAATAAAGACTCATAATTCATTTGAGAAAACAAATTTACTGAAAAAACAAAGTTAGGGGAAATGAATATTTGTGCGACATTGTGTGCCGATTCTTCGCTACAAAGACATTTCCCCAAAATTATTCATTACCTCTGACTTTTGTTCAGTATATATTACTGTAACATGTATTACTTATCATACATCTGTGTCACTGTAAGGTGAGGTGAGGTGAAATGGGGTTTAACGTCGCGTCCAAGATGATTGCACTTATATAGCGACGTGCATGAACGTATGTGTGTGGCTGCTTGTTCTAGTCCGGACTGATGCCGATTTATAGTGCAAGCTCACTGAGATACCATGCCGCAGTTTAAGTTGAATACCCCACACAAACACAGTGTTCTGACTCCGAGCCGACCAGTCCTTGTTTTAGCCCCTTAATGCCAAGCGCCAGACGCGTAAACACGGTACCACGTTTAAACGTCTTTTGGTATGACGTGGCCGGGGATAGAACCCCGGACGTTCGCCGCTCTACCACTAGTCCACGGAGGCGGTCTGTCACTGTAAGGTACTTGGAAGTTGTAGAGTAAAGGAATAAGACAGATGTGTTCCTGAACCACTTTTATTAAAGAAATCCATGGAGGTGCATCTCGGGTCTGAAACATAAAGTTATGACTGAATTTATTAGCCTAATTTAGGGCAAGTACATTTTGAAATAGGGGAAGTAAGAAAGTTAGTCATACTTGCCTTCGGTCAGGTAAGAGTTTCAGAGTCAGGCATTCCAGGGACTGTTTCAGGCATGTTCTTGCACAGTTGGCAGCAGGGGGGAAAAGTCCTTAGGCACCATCCACTTCCAACCCGCGGGCACCGGGGAATTCCATGGTGCACGTGCAATGTATCAGGGGTGTTGGAGCGTCAGATTTTCGTTCCTTTTTCAGTCTCTTGCAGGCAATTTTCAAATTCTTCTGACGACCGATCATAACATTCATATTTCATGATACTCTACTTTTTGGTGGCGAGTATAGTTGTAACTTAGAGAACCTGATAACCTACATATAAAAATAGCAATAAAATAACCACTGGCCTAATTTTGAATGGGTAATCCATTAACCCGTTTATATGCGAAAACATCATTTAAGTGAGTGAGTGAATATTGCCGTGAGCCAAATCAGGTATATTGCAGCTATCATCATTCAAGAATGATTGTTAAAGCACTGTAGTCTAAGGCGCCGCGAATCACTGTGCAGAGTTGCGTCCCTTGGGCACGCCAGAAAACCTATGATTGTGGGTTCGAATCCCGGTTCGCCCGATTATGTTTCTAGGTTTGTCAGCACCATACCCGTGCTCGTGGGTTTCACCGAAGTAGTAAACTGAGACCTGCATCACTTCGAGCTTTCCTCCCACATTAAGCTGACACGCCGTGATATAACTGGAATACTGTTAAAAGCGGTGTTAAACCCTGCTCACTCACTCGTATGTGTTAGTGTATGTTTTACTGTAGCACTGACAATCTTGGTCTGTTACAAACAAATTTGAAACCATAGGACATTGACTCAAATGTCTACAACGCAATATGATATATTGGTAGTTCAACAGAAAGTGAGAAGTTTCCTGATTGAAAACAAATGTGTACATTTGAATCTAGTACCAACAAGCTCCTACAAGTAACATCAATTCATAGAACACACCTCTGTTATCTGTATACACTGCAGTGTGAAACTGACAATCAAAATGTTTCCACAAACCTAGAAACATAATCGGGGCGAACCGGGATTCGAACCCACTATTATAGGTTTCTGACGTGCCTAAGGGACGCAACTCTGCACAGCGAATCGTGGCGCCACCCGTGGCCCCTGGGAGGGAGGGAAGATTGATGAAGAGAGGGGTGACTGACAAAGTCAGGTATTTTGAAATTGGCATCAGGCCCGATTCTGTGACTGATCAAAAAGCGAACATTGAACAATAAATATTTACAATATTACGTTTACATTTGTTTTTGTTTCGTTAATGTATTTTCATACGTGCTATTAATTGAACAACAATCTTATAAGAGTGTGTGTTTAACGCAGCACTCAACAATATTCCAGCTGTATGGCGGCGGTCTATAAATAATCGAGTCTGGACCAGACAACCCAGTGATTGACATGAGCATCGATCCACGCAATTGGGATCGATGACATGCATCAACCAAGTCAGCGAGCCTGACCACCCGATCCCGTTAGTCGCTTCTTACGATAAGCACAGTCGCCTTTTACGGCAATCATGGGTTGATGAAGACCTGTTCTACCCCAGATCTTCACGGGTCAAATCTGATAAGGCGACTGAAGATCTGGAAAAAGTGTACTTCAAGCTACCACCCGAGTGTATCTGCAGGTCGGTCATTTCAACTCGGCAATGGACATCCGGCATCATATTTCTTCTTCTAGATTTAAAGTTGATTTGTGTTTATTGAAGCGTGCGGAAACATCCCAGGCATATAGCGGCGATGTGTAAATAGTCGCGTCTAGACCAGACAAACCAGTGAGCAACGTCCAACGCCATCGATTTACGATGTGATGCGCAGTCGACAGTCACCGAGCATGATCGCCCGATTCAGTTAATCTCCAAGTACGTTAAGCAAAGTTTATTGGGGATCGAACAGACTGATGATCAGTGACCGTTGCTTTCATCTGACAAATACAAACCCACATGGACCACGGGCGGAAGTTGTGACAGCCAAAGTAGTTGAACTCCTCAAGCAGAACCACACATCTAAAAATGGCACAGATGGCAACAATCAGCTGTCCATGATGGGTCCTAAACGAACATGGAGAGAAAGTCATCATATTTCTTTATTCAGAAGCTCAACATTGTATATGTTATCAACTTATCATACAAATCACGATCCTAAATAACCTAAATAGGTCCGTGTACAAATCCAACAATGTATAAGTTCTCATTATTAATAGGGATGAAGGTTCCAGCATTAAATATAGCGAGTGCGTGTGTCGGTCTCTCTCCGTGTCTGTCTCTCTCCCTTTGTAAGTGTGTCTGTCTCTGTCTGTGTGTAAGTCTGTCTCTCTCCGTCACTGTCTCTCCGTGTGTCTGTCTCTTTCTCTGTGTAAGTGTGTCTGTCTCTGTCTGTGTGTATGTCTCTCTCCATGTGTCTGTCTCTCTCTTTGTAAGTGTGTCTCTGTCTGTGTGTATGTCTGTCTCTCTCCGTCACTGTCTCTCCGTGTGTCTGTCTCTCTCTCTCTGTAAGTGTGTCTCTGTCTCTCTCCGTCACTCCATGTCTGTCTCTTTCTGTGTGTCTGTCTCTCTCTCTTTGTAAGTGTCTCTGTCTCTCTGTGTGTCTCTCTCCGTCACTGACTCTCCATGTGTCTGTCTCTTTCTCTGTGTAAGTGTCTGTCTCTCTCTCTTTGTAAGTGTCTCTGTCTGTGTCTGTCTCTCTCCGTCACTGTCACTCCATGTGTCTGTCTCTTTCTGTGTGTGTCTGTCTCTCTCCCTTTGTAAGTGTGTCTCTGTCTGTGTGTAAGTGTGTCTCTCTCCGTCACTGTCTCTCCGTGTGTCTGTCTCTTTCTGTGTAAGTGTCTGTCTCTCTCTCTCTCTCTCTCTTTGTAAGGCTCTGTCTGTGTGTATGTCTGTCTCTCTCCGTCACTATCTCTCCGTGTGTCTGTCTCTTTCTCTTTGTAAGTGTCTGTCTCTCTCTCTCTTTGTAAGTGTCTGTCTCTCTCTCTTTGTAAGTGTCTGTCACTGTCTCTCCGTGTGTCTGTCTCTTTCTGTGTAAGTGTCTGTCTCTCTCTCTCTTTGTAAGTGTGTCTCTGTCTCTCTGTCACTGCCTCTCCGTGTCTGTCTCTTTCTCTGTGTAAGTGTGTCTGTCTCACTCCCTTTGTAAGTGTCTGTCTCTGTGTGTATGTCTGTCTCTCTCCGTCACTGTCTCTCTGTGTGTCTGTCTCTTTCTCTGTGTAAGTGTGTCTGTCTCTCTGCCTGTGTGTGTCTCTCTCCGTCACTGACTCTCCGTGTGTCTCTCTCTTTCTCTGTGTAAGTGTCTGTCTCTCTCTCTCTTTGTAAGTGTGTCTCTGTCTGTCTGTGTGTTTGTGAACTACATCAGTCTCCGTATGTGGGGAATATAGATGGAAATAATTGAACAAAATTGACGGCAATTTTCAAAGGAACATATTGAACGCCACATAACTGATACTAGTGTATGTACAAAGCACCGACATATGGCCGACTGACATGATGTCAAATCACACGGATTAGCACTTGTTTGGTTGGTGATAAAATATTGATGGGGGGAATGAGGTAAAGGATAAACCAAGGACTGTTTACATGTAACGCCAAACCCGAGGGAAAGTTTTGTCTCGCGAACATTTCGAAAGACAAAACTGAAACTTTTATCAAAAAATTTAAAGTGTCCAACCTATTTTCCATGAACCTTGGGAAACGAACAAAAAATACCTATTTTGTTGTCGTATATTCTTCTAAAAGCACTCTGTATCGCCTCTTTTGCCTTGTGATCCTTCAAATATGAAGGTTGAAAATTCGGGATGAGGTGAAATGGGGTTGAACGTCGCGTTCAATATCATTGCACTTATATAGCGCCTCTGTGTGTGTGCGTGCGTGCGCGCGCGCGCGGACTAATGCCAAATTTATAGAGGTAGCCCACGGAGATACCATGCCGCAAGTTTAACATGAACACCCCACCCAGACACAGTATGCCGACTCCGAGCCGACCAGTCCTTGTTTTAGCCCCTTACTGCCAGCGCCAGACAGGCTCACAACGGGTACCACCTTTTAAAGTCTTTCTGGTATGACGCGTCTGGGGATCGAACCCCGGACCTTTCGCTCTCAAGGCGGACTCTCTACCACTAGACCAGAGGCGGTCTTTGAAAGTTCCAGCCGGAAGGAACATCTCCGTAAGTTTCCTATCTCATCTGCCGACTGAACAGATTCAGAAACAGTTTTTGCGACTGAAGATCACGTTGAATAATATTTTCTTATAAACACAAAATAAATACTTTCATGCACCATGAAACAAATTCTATCCCTCCCTTTGACAAAACACAATGTACGTCCGTGAGAGACAAAAAGCTCTGTGAATAGCTGCCTATTTTAAGGAATCGAACACTGATAAGGCACATGAACAGCCCATAGTGCAAAATTCAATGATCATTGCCGGGTCCAAAAACACACCGAGACAGCCAGCACATAGCTGAGTGAGAAACAGCGAGCAACCTATTTTTGTCACACGGCCATGTAAGACATGTTCAATGTTTTGTACCGGAATATCTGAGCGAGAAACAATATCATTCAATCATTCAATCATTCAGCCAGCCTTCCAGCTGCAGATTTGTCACAGAATCACATGTCGTCTGGGGCATGTTCAATGTTTTATACCGGAAGACATGGATCTAGTCAGAGGACACATGTCTGGCACCTAATGTCTGGCATGTCTTGTGGACCATTTACTCGGAGAACGGGTCAAGTCTCTAGGACACACACATGGCAGCAATCACATATATATATAGCTCAAACTTCATCTGAAGGTGTCAAGTGACTGATATTGGCCGCACACACTTACCAGCATGCCCTGACAATTTGTCACAATTCAAACATATAAGACAATCCGTTCGTCAAATCGCAAACCACGACCCGTCACCGATTCAACGATTACATGACAGCGGTTTAACAATGACCTCAGGACTATATGAACATGCTCATTTCACAAAATAATTATTATAACACAAAGTTACCAGAGATATGTACATCAACGACATAATCAAATATTACAGGATCGTCATTTATTGTTTACATACTTAGATCCAGGGTTAGGGTTCACATGAGTACGTTTCATCACCTCAGCTACGCCAAGATATATTATTGGTGATAGGATATACTGTAAAATACATTTCTTTGTTGATAAACGCTGCAATCAGCAATATTTCAGCTACATAGCGGTGGTAAATAAAGCTTGATATCATGAGCATTGGTCTACGCGAGTGGGATACGACGACATCCATCAACCAAGTCAGCCCGACCACCCAATCCCGTTAATCACCCTCTTACGACAAGCATTGGTTGCTGAAGAACAGTTCTAACTCATAGCAATACATTACACAATTACTAAAGGGTGAATTGCCAAGTCCACACTGCACGCACGCACGCACGCACGCACGCACGCACGCACACACACACACACACACACACAAAGTTCGTCTGCTTGGTTTGTTAGGTACAATATTAGTGCACGTAAACATCACCACCTTACAATCACTTAAAAACATTCCCAGATCATGAGCTGACATGTTATTGTTGATTTGTTTCTCTTAAAAGCGAATTTCTACTTAAAAGCTCTGTAACTATACTATATACTGACAATCATTACAACAAAAAACATCGTGAGGGAAAAACATAAAATCAAAATTGTATCCATTACTCTATCTAACAGATTCAATGATACCGCTGTACATGGACTCAGGCAAGCAATATTTATATCGAGGGCAGCGACAAGGGAGGTAACTCGACAAGAAAAGCAGTTCCAAAACATTCACTAGCCTTGAAAGATTACGAAAGGATGGTGTTTTGAAATGTCACTATACCAGGGCTGAGTATACACGTTACACAACTGTCTTAAATATATTGCACCCAGCGAATGTTGTTACTGAATATATACGAGCAAATAATACCTGCAATAGTGACAATATTGAATAATGTTCACCAAGAATTATGTTGTGTTTAATATCTGTCTACATTTAGTACAAAACAGTAAAGATAAGATCTATCTGTTTCAAAGAAACTTACACCAAACAATTTGAATGGCAACTTACACCGAGGTACTGAACAAAAAACGTTAGGGACTGAATATGTTTTGGTTAATTTTATGTGTTCAGAGATTACTACAAAAAGGCATCTTCAAAAATATTCATGGTCCCAAATCTATTGTTCAGTATATGCTAAACAAATGTGTGGTGCACTCGTTAGTCCTGTACAGACAAGTCAAACCATGACTTCCATCACTCAATAGCTCAGTCAAAAACATTCAATCACTTCACACACAGCTCATCCTGTACAGACTGACGGATAATAATAATAATAATAATGATAATAATAATAATAACAACAACAACAACAATTATACGCTACCAATACAATGTATCTATAAAGCTTCTAGCAGGTATGATGCCTTGCTCATTTATCCAGTGTGTTAGGTCTCCACTGCATCAACATTAGCATCCATGACCCACTCGCCGCCACACCTTGACATTATCACTAACCCAGCACATACGTTCTCTCATTCACTAGAGTAATTAGATGAGATAGATAATTCTATCACTGTGCTATTTGAATTGGGTTGAAAACAAAGCTATGGTGGCAACTAGGTCCAGGGGTATTTATCATAATAAACTGGAGATGTAACACACGGCACTGGATAATCAAAAGATGGTGTGATGCCTGTCCCAGCAACTACTCCAGTAAACTGCTAAAGTCCTGCACATAAATTCACATCACTGTTGCACATGAAAGTGTCCGAACACATCACCTGCACGGAGTAACCAGTGATTAGTTCTCAAGGTACAGCATCCTGAATAGGCCACCCAAATACTCATAAATCCTCCCTCTAGTGTATACCACTCCTTCTTCACAATCACTGCCCCGGTTCTACCGTAGTTAACAGTCTACAAAGTTAACACATCAAACACAATATCTGCCACTGTCAAGTTTGCAATTTCTTTTTCATCCACATTCAAAGTTTAAAAGGATATTTTGGGCAAGTATTTGTTTGGTCCACCATGATTGTTACTATTGAAACAATTAAGACTGACATTGTTGATGTAGATTGTTAGATTTGTGTATTGCACTTTGTGTTTCATCATTTGTGGCATTTCTTGATGCTCTGGGATACATGTTGAACACCCAGTACTGTTGTGAGGTGTGTATGTGTGTTGTTAACTATCACTGCCACATCTGTGTCAGCCCACCTCCACAATACACACCTATCATCTATCTGGAAAGAGAAAACAATGGCAAGTATGTATTGAAATTCCACTGACACAAGAAAATAGAAAAAGTTTAGATCTTAAATTAACAAATGACCATTATACTTTTAACAAATCATGTTTATGATATAACCAAGTTTTTGTTCAACTTCAATGAACCTTTGACAAGATTTAGCATGCTCATAGGTTTTATTTAGGAATTTCTATGTAAATGATTGCAAACCTCAAATGAATGTCATGTTTACTGCCGGTATATACTAGGGTTAGATTGCTGCACGGACCATTCAAAACATACATACTACATTCACACACGTGCTGTCTCACAGCACAAAATGTTTCTCATTTAACCCTATACACCCATTCCAAACGACAAAAGAAACAGTGAGTGAGTGAGTATTGTCTTAAGCCGCTTTTAGCAATATTCAAGCAGTTTCACGGCGGGGGACACCAGAAATGGGCTTCACACATTGTAGCCTTGTCGGGATTCGAACTCGGGTTTTCGGCGTGATGAGCGAACGCTTTAACCACTAGGCTACCCGACCGCCCCAAGTATGGTTTTAAGCTGCTTTTAGCAATATTCCAGCACTATCAAGGCGGGGGACACCAGAAATGGGCTTCACACATTGTACCCATGTCGGGAAACAACTGCAGGCCTTTGATGATGCAAATACTCTAACAACAAGGTTATCCCACCGACCCACAAATGTACAAAGCTATCATAAATCTAAAAAATAACGTAAAATAATTGTCATACCTGATATTAAGGTTTCCAGCAGTCCCTTGGTTGTGTGCTCGTGGGTTTTCAGGATGAAATATGTTCCCAGCACATGGATCATGTTGTCAGACTTGGTTATGTAAACTAACAGCATGTCCATGGTACCCCGATGACATGGATCATTGTTCACTATATCAATAACTGTAACTGGTCTTGACTCGATTGTTTAACAGGCCGCCGTCACAAAGATAGAATAGTGTAGTGTGGCGTTAAACAATCTTGGTGAAATTCCTACAGCATGTTTGTCAGATTCAAGTAGTACAAGAGTTCATGGCTACAGCATGTTTGTCAGATTCAAGCAGTACAAGAGTTCATGGCTACAGCATGTTTGTCAGATTCAAGCAGTACAAGAGTTCATGGCTACAGCATGTTTGTCAGATTCAAGCAGTACAAGAGTTCATGGCTAACGCATGTTTGTCAGATTCAAGCAGTACAAGAGTTCATGGCTACAGCATGTTTGTCAGATTCAAGCAGTACAAGAGTTCATGGTAAGCGGACAGAAGACATAGGTCTAAACTAAGCATGGTCAGGTTAGCTAAGACGCCGAGAGGAGACTAGTGTGAACAAGGGTTATGCTACCAGCACTGTAGACTTGAGCAGTGTAATAGGTAAACAGTGTATCAAATAACATTAAACCAAGCAAGATCAAAAGAAAAATCAAACTTGAAACATTTGTGTCCAGAGAGTTTCATGCATTCGGAACACACCAGGGAAGAGGAAAAACTAGTCTATTGTCTTACTGTTTTAATTCATACAGGAAACAGGGACTACACCACGGCTCCATATTAAGTGTAAGAACAGTATACGATGCAAATTACCGGACATAACAAATGTGTTTGTTCTTCAGAAACCTTAATCCTACTTTTCAGCTCTTGAAAAGGTTACAACATCTATAAACCTAATTTCCTCTGTCTACGAGTGAGTGAGTATGGTTTTATGCCGCTTTTAGCAATTCTCCAGCAATATCACGGCGGGGGACACCAGAAATGGGCTTCACACATTGTACCCATGTCGGGAATCGAACCTGGGTCTTCGGCGTGACGAGCGAACGCTTTAACCACTAGGCTACCCGACCGCCCCATTGTCTACAAAAGGTGAAAGCAAAATTGAAATCAGTTTCCATCTTAACATTTCTCCTTGAATGCTACAGAACTTGCATTCTTGGTGAGTCTCATTGTATACAATGTTAATCATAGAGGTTACTGTTCTGCCGCTAATGTTTTAAAAGACATTCGTCCCATTATACAGTACTATCGATTTTGGAAATCACGTGTGTGTTTGTATGTTTCTTGTTTAACGCCTCACGCAGCAATATTGCAGCTATATGACGGCAGTCTGTAAATAATCTGGAGTCTGGACCTGACGATCCAGGGATTGACATCATGAGCATCTATCCACGCAATTGGGATACAATGACATGCATCAACCAAGTCAGCGAGCCGACTACCCGATCCCGTAAGTCGCCCAACGACAAGCATGGGTTGCTGGCGACCTATTCTAACAGATCTTCACGGGTCAAATCACATGTGTAATCCACAAAAAAAATATAGATTTGAAAGTCAAATGCTCCTAGCTCACTTAATAGGAAAATTATATGTTCTTCTAGCCTAGTGTCACTCCAATCAATAACATAAAAGGCTTTAAGGAACAGTGTTTAAGTGCCTTGTAATAAATGACCTTGTTAAACATTCATCACATGGAAGATTGGAAGATCTAGATATGGAAAGCAATGTGATAATGAAGCCATCGAAGGTTACGGAGCTACACATCAAAGGATGTGACAGACCACAAGTGGAAGTTATAGCAGTCAGGGTTAGCGAAGCGATCAGGGACAGAAAAATGGAATTTGACAGACAAACAAAGAATTTCACCAATCATTACCATATTCTGTGTAATAGTGAGGTCTCTTGTAGTCAACTTTACAAACATGAATAAAAAGAAAACAATAATTTACATGGAACAAATCCAAAAACTTCGTACATGTTGCAGTAATAAATGTTGTTTATTTATGTAAACAGCAACTATTATGAATTGTTTGATAGGCATTACTTAGAAGTTGATGGATGACAAAGTAGACACAATTTATGGATAACAACTTCTTTAATGCTGTAAAAAGCGATGTTTCGGTATCAATCCTTATACCGTTATACCTTAACGGTGTAAGGATCTATATCGAAACGTCGCTTTTCACAGTATTAAAGAAGTTGTTATCCATAAAATTGTGTCCTTACACCGTTGTCAGTCTTGCTTGACAACGGTATAAGGATCTATACCGAAACGTCGCTTTTCACAGTATTAAAGAAGTTGTTATCCATAAAATTGTGTCCTTACACCGTTGTCAGTCTTGCTTGACAACGGTGTAAGGATCTATATCGAAACGTCGCTTTTCACAGTATTAAAGAAGTTGTTATCCATAAAATTGTGTCCTTACACCGTTGTCAGTCTTGCTTGACAACGGTATAAGGATCTATACCGAAACGTCGCTTTTCACAGTATTAGAGAAGTTGTTATCCATAAAATTGTGTCCTTACACCGTTGTCAGTCTTGCTTGACAACGGTGTAAGGATCTATATCGAAACGTCGCTTTTCACAGTATTAAAGAAGTTGTTATCCATAAAATTGTGTCCTTACACCGTTGTCAGTCTTGCTTGACAACGGTGTAAGGATCTATATCGAAACGTCGCTTTTCGCAGTATTAAAGAAGTTGTTATCCATAAAATTGTGTCCTTACACCGTTGTCAGTCTTGCTTGACAACGGTATAAGGATCTATACCGAAACGTCGCTTTTTACAGTATTAATGAAGTTGTTATCCATAAATTGTGTCTACGTTAGCAACTGTTATAACTCAAATCATATGCACTGTGTAATGGTCAGGGGCTTGTAAAACAAAAATTAGCAGCTTCAAGACGTATGGTCGCAACCAGTGCCAGTACTGCCTTTTTATATAGTACTGATACCGGTTGTGACCATATATCTTGTCGCTGCTAAGTTATATGTTACAACCCCTGTGGTGTAATGTACTGAATATGAAGAGTTGACTGAGGTTCACTATGACACAGAATATGGCCTGTGCATGCCTTCATCAGGACATGAAGGTGCGGACGGTGCCGCGGATGTTGGCCCGGCATATGGGGCACTTCCTCAAGGCAGGGGCACATGTGGCACAGCAGACTAAGTGCCCACATGGGAGGAACACCACATTAACTTCTTCGTCCATACATATTTTACATTGACGTTGCTCTTTCAATTGCCGATTTTCCTCCATCAGTGATTGTGAATCTGCAACAGAGATGGTTCTTAGAGTCACCAAACTTAAGGCAATATTTACACACTATTAATATATTCACGTCCATAGTTCCTAGTCTCAATATTATTAACTGATCAGGTTATGCACTAATCAGTTGCTACATAATGTCATCCCATATTATTTGAGAACAAAATAATTGTAACATTCGTTTAACAGCTGCATTAAGCCTATTTGCCACATCCATCCATCCATCCATCCACCCACCCATCCATCCATCCATCCATCCATCCATCCATCCATTCATTCATTCATTCATTCATTTCAAATTTTGGACAATGTATCTTGTATGAAGAAATTTTGACAATGGGGAAGGAGGTCGAATTGAGCCCATATCTTTCCTTTTGATTTGTACAATTACCAAGCCAAGATTAGATCTATTAAATATTTGTTTGTTAGGTGTCAGTGTCCCTGTACTGTTGCACACAGAGCAGCCCATTGGACCAGTACTTCCTTGTCACACCACCATGACCACTGAAACCGAAGGCTTCCTGTTTGTGATATGATTGAATGAGTACTTCCTGGTAGCTTTGCACAAATATGAGAAGACAGCTCTGCAGTTACTTCAGAATAATGTCTACTTTTCCAAAATTACATCTGCTTATATTCAAATGGAACCTGAAATAAAATATTCACAATGCACACACAGAGTGACATGGTGACACTATAACACAGTTTTGTCACATTGGGTCAATATCCATAGGGATTCAGCATATACAGTTACTGAGGTCAGCTGAACACTTTAATATATCAATGTATTATACACTGATATATTAAAGTGATCAGCTGACCTCAGTTACATCAAGTCCAACACAAAGAGAATAAAGATGTAGAGACAATGACATATCTACCGCATTAATCATGTTAATGGGGAGATGAATATTTGCTGAAATACTGTTGTCCAGATTTGTTTTCAAATAAAGAGAGTGAGCATGGTTTTCGTCACTTTTAGCAATATTTCAGCAATATCGCGACAGGGGGACATGCCATGAACAAACATAAACCCCTTATGACCAGTTCAGCCAATCATTCACTTCTCAACATAATATAAATGCGAACAAGGCTGACAAACAGTTTCTTCTCTAGTTGCCCTCTGGGGCACCTGAGCACGTTGAAAAATCAAAACTCAACTGATAACTGTAATCATTAAATAACCATTGGCAAAAGTCTTGAAACAAGACACGGACTTTCCGATCAACATTTTTTTATATATTACAGCTTCAATACACTCTGAAAATGAAATACTTAAGTCTAGAGTCCTCCCTACCTTCATCACTGGAGTCATCCATAGCCCTCTCTTCCGAGTCTTCGCCCTTCTCACCTGCAACACGAACACACCGTCAGGTACTGACAACATGGAGGACACTATAGCAACTCTCCTGACAGCAGCACGGAACATATACCACTCAACAGAATTTAAGGAGCACCCAATTCTTTCATATTCCTATAGTTAATCTGTCGTGGCATTACATAGATTAACTATAGGTATATGAAAGAATCGGGTGTTCCTTAAACTTCTCTTTAGTATATATATATATATAAAGATGTAACTAGGTTACACAGTTGCACAGTTATATGTTAATACTTGTTAACTGTTTGTTTGTTTGTTTGTTGTTTAACGCCACACTCAGCAATATTCCAGCTATATGACGGCAGCCTGTAAATAATCAAGTCTAGGCCAGACAATCCATTGATTGACATCATGATCATCGATCTACGTTATTAGGATGTGATGACATGCATCAACCAAGTCAGCGAACATGACCACCCAATCCTGTTAGTCGCCTCCTAAGACAAGCACAGTCGCCTTTTACGATAAACGTGGGTTGCTGAAGACCTATTCACAGGACACTGTTAACTGATGCCTGAAACTTTCCTTGTGTTCATCCTTCTGACAAACACCACTGTAACAGTGAATTACACACATATATGCACTCGGCATACACATGTGGAACTTACTAAACTGGTGTGTTTCCGATTGTAGCTTCACTTCAGACATGTTCACAACTGCAGCAATACATGCCAGGTACTTGTGTGTTCACAACTGCAGCAATACACCCTTTGTACTTGTGTTCACAACAGCAGCAATACATGCCAGGTATCTGTGTGTTCACAACTGCAGCAATACATACCAGGTACTTGTGTGTTCACAACTGCAGCAATACACTCAGGTACTTGTGTGTTCACAACTGCAGCAATACATGCCAGGTAACTGTGTGTTCACAACTGCAGCAATACATACCAGGTACTTGTGTGTTTACAACTGCAGCAATACATACCAGGTACTTGTGCGTTCACAACTGCAGCAATACGCCCTTAGTGCTTGTGGGTTCACAACTGCAGCAATACACACCAGGTACTTCTGTGTTCACAACTGCAGCAATACACACCAGGTACTTGTTCGTTCACAACTGCAGCAATCCATACCAGGTACTTGTGTGTTCACAACTGCAGCAATAGGCTCCAGGTAACTGTGTGTTCACAACTCCAGCAATACATCCTTTGTACTTGTGTTCACAACTGCAGCAATACATGCCAGGTAACTGTGTGTTCACAACTGCAGCAATACATACCAGGTACTTGTGTGTTTACAACTGCAGCAATACATACCAGGTACTTGTGCGTTCACAACTGCAGCAATACGCCCTTAGTGCTTGTGGGTTCACAACTGCAGCAATACACACCAGGTACTTCTGTGTTCACAACTGCAGCAATACACACCAGGTACTTGTTCGTTCACAACTGCAGCAATCCATACCAGGTACCTGTGTGTTCACAACTGCAGCAATGGGCTCCAGGTAACTGTGTGTTCACAACTGCAGCAATACATCCTTTGTACTTGTGTTCACAACTGCAGCAATACATGCCAGGTACTTGTGTGTTCACAACTGCCGCAATACACACCAGGTACTTGTGTGTTCACAACTGCCGCAATACACACCAGGTACTTGTGTGTTCACAACTCCAGCAATACACCCTTTGTACTTTGTACTCACCAATATCAAGATCTTTGTCAGCCATCTGCTGGTCTCCTGGAGAGCGAGCAACACTCCCTGTAGACTTGGACCCTGTTTGTGCTGCAACATCAGTTGGTCCTGGGTCTATGTCTGGCAGGGCAAATATGGCCTCCATCAGGTTCTCCACAGTGGGGAAATCATCACCTGTTACCAAAGAGGGAGAGAATGAGCTGCTGCTATTCGTGTTTCAGTTGCATCCCTGACATTCAGCCGGAAACCATTCAGAGCTGTTTCCATCTTTGGTGAAAGCCATGAACAAGGGAGGTAAATGACAAACAAGTACTATTATCAAAGTGACATTCATATGTGTTACCAGCATATCCCTGCACGACTAAGGAACACAGCTCTACACACTGCTCCGTATGCCCCCACTCTACCAATGATAGCAACATAAGATGGCTCCAACTGAGCACAAATAACTCTTTCTTTCAGCCTTTACATAAACCTATATAGCACAACCGTCTAAGTCAACACAATTTGTTAATAGGTGTGTCACACTGGTCAAACTGGTCGTGACTTATCAGCAATTTACGTCTTTTCACACCAAGACTTCCTTCTGATGGCTTGTTTGTTTGTTTGTTTGTTTGTTGTTTAATGCCGCAATCAGCAATATTTCGTAAATAATCAAGTCTGGACCAGACAATCCAGTGATTGATATCATGAGCATCGAACCACACAATTGAGATACGATGATATGTTTGTTTGTTTGTTTGTTTTTTAACGCCGCACTCAGTAATATTCCAGCTATATGACGGCGGTCTGTAAAATAATCGAGTCTGGACCAGACAATCCAGTCATTGACATCATGAGCATCAATCCACGCAATTGGGATCGATGACATACATCAACCAAGTCAGCGAGCCTCACCACCCGATCCTGTTAGTTGCCTTTTACGACTAGACAATCATAGTCTCCTTTTACGGCAAGTATGGGTTTCTGAAGACCTATTCTACCCCGGAATCTTCATGGGTCACGATGACATGCATCAACTAAGTCAGTGAGCCTGACCTCCCAATCACGTTAGTCACCTCTTACGACAAGCATAATCGTCTCTTGAGACAAGCATGGGTTGCTGAAGACCTATTCTAACCCGGATCTTCAAGGGTCCCTCCTGATGGATTTTGATGGCCTTTCGATGGCAATCACCCTTATGATGAAAAACACTATCATCTACAAGTTGATCACTTCATGTATTTATAGTCATGTGTGAAGGTCCAATCACCGCTGCAAAGTCACGTACCTGTCTCCTGTAGTCGGTTCTGTATGGCTCTGGCCACCCGGTCTCGGGGGATGTCCATCTTCAGCACTGTCTGTACCATGGGGCTGTCCATCCGGGCAGACAACTCTCGCGGGTCTAGGGTCCGCACAGCTGTGCTGCTACCCATCTTGTTGCCTGTGTCTGGGATAGCAAATGAGTGTGTGAGATCTTGAATCCTGTCTTCAGAAATGAAATATTCCAGCAGGGGGAAAAAGAGGGATATACAGTGAGTAGGTATAGTCTTACGCCGTTTTTAGCAATATTCCAGCAATATCACGACAGGGGACGCCAGAAATGGGCTTCACACATAGTACCCATGTGGGGAATCGAAACCTGGTCTTCGGAGTGACAGGCAAACGCTTTAACCACAAGGATACCTCACGATCCTAGAGTGAGTGAGTGAGTTGGGTTTAACGTCGCTTTTAACAGCATTACAGTTAAATCGTGGCGTGTCAGCTTAATGTGGGAGGAAAGCCCGAAGTGATGCAGGTCTCAGACGTTTACCACTTCGGTGAAACCCATGAGCACGGGTATGGTACTGACAAACCTAGAAACATAATCGGGGCGAACCGGGATTCGAACCCACAATCATAGGTTTCTGGCATGCCTAAGGGACGCAACTCTGCACAGCTAATTGTGATGCCTTAGACGACTGGGCCACCCGTGCCCCCATATACACAGGGAGAACTGAACTAATATGTCTTCCTCAGAACCAAGGGGCGGTCGGGTAGCCTAGTGGTTAAAGCGTTCGCTCGTCACGCCGAAGACCCGGGTTCAGTTCCCGACATGGGTACAATAAGTGAAGCCCATTTCTGGTGTCCCCCACCGTGATATTGCTGGAATATTGCTAAAAGCGGCATAAAACCATACTCACTCACTCCTCTATCTATTCAGGAGCTTGCATGATACATTCACTCTGAAGTTCGGATCAGACATTACACAATGTTCCTACCTGTGTTAGACTGAGCGGCAGTGCTGTTACCTGCGGTAGCGGCTGATGGCTGAAATTCGGGAAACCAAACACATGCATCTTAATCATATATATGACAGTTACACCAAAAAATCATCAATGGGCACATGAGCCTCACAATATGTTAAGAGGGTCTAGAGATTAGAATTAATTGTCTGTAAACATGAGAAACCTACCTCGTGTCCTCCGAGGGCCGTCTGGATGAAGCTCTCGCCCTTGACCTGCCGAACGTAAGGACATTGAGGAAACCATCGAGCATGCTCCGCCCATGGGTCATCCCCTCGCTCCCAGGTGCGCAACCCACCATCACAGAAGAAGCATTTCACGCTGTCCCCAAAACCTGTAGTGAGTGAATTTTAGTGAAAACACACAGGTAGCAAATGAAAGTGATATTGTTGGACATGATTTCACACCAGGTTTTAAGTTATTTGGCTTATGTATTTCTTTCAGTCTTCAGAAATTATCCACTCGTTTGGGTGTGTCAAATCTAGAGACCAACATAAAGTCAGGCAGGTTTATTACCCAAGTAAATGAATTTGCACATCTGCTTACATCACTAGTACCGGTACTCATCACTTGATCAAAACATGAAAGAATATTGTGAAAAAATGCAAATATATTATTGACCTTAGATATGGAAGGACATAATATTCATGGGAATGTAAGGTTCGTACTTATTTAAGTTTATCAGAAACTGATAATGAAATAAAGTCTTACTAGTCACTGCTTTCAAACAGATTATCTTGAACTTTCATGACCCAAAACAATCCACTGTGGAGAAGCATAATATCATAGCAATTTCGGTGATGGGTCAGTTAAACTTTTTAAGATCTTAAACCACAAAGTGTTTGCTAGTATCTTGTACCCTTGCAATTTGACCTTTTCATCACATTAATCTTTGTGTACCACGCAAAAGACAAATCACAATCAGTGGGTGACAAAATCTGCTGAAATACAATACTACTAGTACAAAAATTCTTACCAGCATAAAAGAAGCCAGCCTTGGCCAGCATCTGGGGTGTCTGTTCCTTTCCACTGGGCCAGTTTCTGAAGGAGCTGACTCGGGAAGCTTCCACTGCATACTGTGGGTGTCTGGGCCGGTCAGTGACAATCCCCAGGCTGGCATCACTGACCACAGCAGCTGGCTGGGTGACGTTCATGAACTCAGATGTTCTGTTTGCAGATATGATAGCGGCTGGGTCCGGAACATTTCCGACATCCAATCCCATGACATAAGGACACATAGGAAAGTGGCGCCTATGTTCTTCCATAGGGACATCGTCTTCGTCCCAGTTGCGAAGTATTCCTCTACAGAACACGCATTGAACGCGATCAACAGTCCCAGTAAAGTAGAATCCAGCTCGGGACAGATCTCTTGGATCTGGAGTGTTCTGTCTTGGCCAGTTGGCATCAAAGCTGGAGAATCGGTTGGCCTCCTGCTTCATAGGTGCAAATTCCTCCCTGGTTGGGGTAGCTTCTGAATCATGTCCAAGTCCGAGTCCTCCGGCCGTGCCAATCGCCTGGCGACTTGTTTCTGCTGCCCCAGAGTCTGTAGCCACAACGGGGAAGTTTGTCTGAGCTGATGTTGCCTGATTCTGCCTGAAGGTGGCGCTGGAATAATCAGGATTGTCGTCTGGTCGGTTTGAGAAGCTGCTGCTGGTGATTGCCGGGGAGTCGGTGCCACAGTATTGTCTGTGCAAGGAGTTTTGTATTTCCTGGTACTCTGATGGTTGTGGAACAAAGACTGGGATATTCACATCATCTGCTTCTTGAAAGAAGGAACATGATGGGTTCAGTTCTCTGTGAACCAACATTGGGTTCATATTCCGGCTCCATCCTGCTTTCACGACATCACAAGAAAAACATTTAACAACATCTTCATTTCCTGTGTAAATAAATCCTGCTTTGGCCAATCTGATTGGACTAGCACGGTCAAGTAACATCCATCCTGCAAATGTTTTCAGACGAAGAAGTTCAAACTTCATCTCTTCTCCTGTGCTCATTGGTTCTCCAGATAATAATCGTCTGAAATACTGATTCTCAAGTGCAGACATGATAAGTCGATTGACTGCAAATATGACCAACGAACAGATATAGAACAACCAATCTGTTGCAAATACAATATGCTTGAGAATTGTTTACTTTATATTCCTTTCACAGATATCTGTTTGATTGAAAATGCGTTCCTGTGGAATCTGTTCCCTGGGATTTAAATATATCTCCTTACAATCAGTGTTGATTTGTCGTATCACGGGTACTGTAAAAGGTACTGTCTTAAGTCATATCCTGAAGGAAGACTTAAGTAGTTATCTATGCATTCTCTTTCTAGCTTCTCTTGTGTTGCGGACTCATTACCGAAACATATCACTGCCATGCTCACATATTCACTCTGAACTTGACATCATGGACTGTCTTCCAAGCCTCCTTTGTAACTGGTCTGAAACAAGGGCAACTGAGAAATAGAGAGGGAACATTTATTGACCAGTTCTGCCAGTCTGTAGTTGTGGCAACGTTCCCTTATAGCTCAAGAGTAGCACTAATGTCACATTGTAGTGATGGTTGAGTGGGTAGGGCTTTATGTCGTAATGAGCTTGACTTCACTTTTGAAATTGGAAAGGTCACGACTAATTAATATGACACTAGCTGACATTGTTGTCCTTTCATATTATATTATGTGTGACATTCTGTTAATATCTCCAAGGAAATAGTGGTCAATAAGGTTCTTAGCAGGACAAGTTTGTATTATGTTATTCAAGTTGTTATTTATGGCTACAACTGGTATCTTGTAACAACAAAACATTATAGAAATGAGCCAAGTGTGTATTTCTGCAAAGTATGATATTGTAGGCATAGAGCTGCATCATTTTCTGCTTGCATACCACAACATCCAATCAACAAAATATAGAGACAACTACATTATTTGGGACATCCAACCTAATAGCCAACCTTTGGCACAATGTCATAGCCTTTAATTCACGTTTTGTGATGTATACTAATTTAAATTATAATTTAAATTTGCAGGTGAATAATATTGATTTACCATAGCAACGGCGCATGTACCTGCTCCTGATGAGTCAGGCTTATGACAGGATTTTGTGTTCATAGAGCACACTATTTTAAAATTAATGCAAATTCAGAAAAAAAACTTGTTTTCGAGGTTGATAATCGCTGCTTTTAGTCATTATCACATGGCTAATTCAAGGCTCTAGATGGGCTAGCATCGACGTTTGACAAGCCCAAATTTCAGCATGAGCAGCATGCTATAGCAATAACATAAAGGTGTGAAATTCAAATATTGAGCTGGTTAGGTAAGCCCAGCCAAATGACTATTTCATATATGATCATCTGCTGATTGACCATATATAATTAAGATTTTGAAAAGTGGGTAGATTGGTGCTCATGATGTCGATCACACGATTGTCAGGTCCAGACTCCATTATTTACAGACAACGGAGGCGTCAGTAGTCCATTGCAACTGTACAAACTGTAACTCTGCTCCCAGGCGGATAATCTACCCCCGATAGACATTACTATTTTCCACTAGCTTCAAATACAAAGATGAACAAACGTAATATGCATGAATCTCAAAACGTGTGACTCATTTTATGTGAATTTGTCTGCGGGATTTTGCAGTTGCGTGTGATATTTTGCAGAACTCGAAAACAAATACGTTTGAAATAGGGGCATCATGACGCACTTTGAATCGCAGTATTGTAACCATTGTGGGATCGTAAAGGTTAAGAGCAAAACTAACAAACAAGACTTTATGTCGAAGCAATATCACAACATGCAACATTCATCGCCGCATCTCCTTACGACCTTGAACTTCAATTTGCAAACGAAAGTTACTCCCCTATGACGAAGTCGACACAAATAGATACAAGAACCTTTCTTGATCAGCTTCAAACAGAGCTAGATTATCAAGAGACTTCTTGTGCATGGTGCGTTTTTTTTATTAGATTGCAGAAGCCTTGGAATCCATCGAGCTGATACATTCTTCATTGCTAAAGTTTCGGTGATAATGGAATGTCCTCTGTCCTGGGAAATGCCTACTGAACTAGCAATATGACTCCCAGTCATTCGATGGTCGGTCATCATAATATTGTGATTCTCTGTATCATTTCTGGTATTGCTGATGTGACAGGCATTCCAGGACGGGGGTCATTTCACTTCAAGGCTCTCCCTGCCACTCTTCTGCCCACCTCTCTAAGAGGGGCATTCTTCCTAAGCATTGTACTAATATCATCATGAATGGCTTTTGGTGTAAAAGCCTTTTTCCTGCAAGTAATTGATAATCGCATGTTTCTCAAGTTTGTCCATTTAAAAAGGTCACAGACGCCTATTTATTTTACTGACTTTACTGACCAATTTGCTCAAATGACTCATGACCAAACTTTTTGACAAATCTCTGTAGCATCATGTGATGTCCACAACAATGGATTTCACTATGATGCAATTCCTATTATGTGAGGCTTAGAACTTGTCAATCATTCCTGTAGAATACTGCACCATATAAGGAGCCTACACCAGTGGAGAGGTCCCGTGCGATCACTGAGCTCTTGTCTACAAACTGGTTTGTACCATTAAATGATTCACAAAAACATTCAACCATGCAATGACTGCATTTGCACTGATATTCAATCAGTAATGTGCTCGAGTGATTGACCTGCAATTAACCTCTGTTGTTCTTTCTGTCCCTGGTGTTTAGCGTTTGATGCTCAATTTGGCAAATAAAAGTTTTAACTGTTTTCATGAAGAAGTAACAAGTTTGCATCTTTCACCATCTATCTCAATGTCTGGAAAAGTTCATTTCTGGCATTGTGTTACCGTCTTGTCAAAATATATTGGGAAACCTAGACATCCAGACTTGGATTTTGATATAATTAAGAAGTTATCCATACAAGAAACATTAGGACATCCTCTTCGTTTCAAATTGTAACACCTTTTTGTGGGCTCTTTGATGCACCGATTGGCATCTTGTATCAACCATGGATACTTAATATTTTCCATGACGACTTTTTTCTACCAAATAAATTTCCTCCATTACATGTCTAACTCATGTGCTTGTTGCAGACATATCCTTTCATGAACCTGTTCTAGTTCTAGATATTTGTCTAAAATATCAAACCATTTCAAATTCCATAAATGCTAAATTCTCCATCGTGGTCACCTTTGAGTTCTGCTTCCCCCAAAAATACTATCCAAGGGGACTAGTAATACAGTCTATTTACTTGTAACGAAAACGCGAAGGCACATCTTTGTGTTCACGCTGCATTAAGGCACTATGTATGTGGCGGAAGATTTGAAGTTTGGGAATGTGCATCCAGTTGGAAGTTGATAATTAGATACAGATCAGCTTCCTTTCATCCGCTGATAGTTTAACATAGGATTCTTCTCGAGGTAGTAAAACATGTCAAGAATGAAAACATTACTCCATACATAGGTTTGCTGACAGCGACATTAATGAGAGAGCCGCGAACGTGCTATGGCTGTGAGGATCTTGTAGGTGACAATAATCATCGCCTGAAGGAATTACCACCCCATTTCCCCCCTAAAGACACATGGACATGTATACTAGCCACATAAAGAAACTGTGCACGGAGAAAATATAGATATAAGGGCAAACCGTCCATATATGAAAGATAGGTTTGAACACAGCAATTATTGGAGACATTCAAACGCTCATGCACGTGCCATGCGATATGACGTCATTGATGGGGGCCTATGGACGTGCAATGTGTTACTGCACGTGCATCCTGTGCAGCTGTATACAGCATGTGCAACTCAAAATTCGCTGTCACTTTGGAAAGCATGATCTGTGGTCATTCAAAAATTCAAAACTTCTCAGGCGCAGACACAAGCATATCACAAGCAAATCATGCCAAGATTGACAGCTGCACAGCGTCATGAAGCCATTGGAATGATCCGAGCGGGAATGAGGCAACAACAGATGGCAACACATTTCCAATGCCATCGTAACACGATATCGGCATTGGTGAGGCGTTATCAGAACACAAATGACGTTGCCGACCACCCACGTTCAGGACGTCCCCGAGTAACGACGCCAAGACAGGACAGATGGATTCGAGTTACACATCTCCGACACAGGTTCTAAACGGCAGTAACGACGTCCCAGACAATTCCTGGACTGCGCCGTATCCATCCCAACACTGTCAGGAATCGTTTACGTCAGTACTGGATTCGACCACGACGCCCTGCCATATGTCCCATCCTGACAAACTGTCATCGAGTCAACCGTCTAAGATGGTGTCGAAATCATGTACGCCAACCTCGAATATGGTGGAGAAATGTTGTCTTTACAGAAGATTCGAGCTTCAACCTTTCCCACAGTGACGGGCGCCAACGTGTCTACCGGCGTTTTGGAGAACGTTATGCACGCAACTGTATTGTGGAGAGGAATCGCTTTGGAGGTGGCTCTGTGATGATTTGGGGTGGGATAACAGCACGGCACCGAACCCCTTTGGTGGTTGTTCAGGGCAATCTCACCGGTGTTGGCTACAGAGATCAGATTCTCAGGCCTGTGGTCATTCCTTTCCTGCAACGTCATGGCCCGGGATTGACATTTCAACAGGACAACGCTCGTCCTCACACGGCTAGGGTCGCAATGGATTTCCTTCACCATAACAATGTCATGTTACTGTCATGGCCTGCAATTTCTCCAGATCTCTCCCCAATAGAGCATGTGTGGGATGAAATGGAGCGCCGTCTGCGTCGTCTTTCACATCCTCCAGATAACTTCCGTGACTTGGCACAGGATTTGAGGAGGATATGGCAGGCCATTCCCCAGGCCTTCCATGCCCATTTCGTGGACTCCATGCGTCGCCGATGCACTGCTGTGATTCACGCACAGGGTGGTCATACCCGTTATTGACTTTGTGACTTTGTCGTTTGACCCCCTACTCCATTTTGATCTTCTGACGTCATCGTAACAGATGTTGTTAAGGTCCCGTTGAAATTTTCTTATGGTCCGATCATTCAGCTGCTACAGCGTCTGCTTCATTTTGTTCTTGCTGTGTTGTATTCCAATCCAGAATATATTTTCTCCGTGCACAGTTTCTTTATGTGGCTAGAATATTTGTGTTGCCAGTTTTTTTTGTTGTTGTAATCAACAGATTGCCAGAAAGGTAACCTCCCATTTGTCAGACAGCTTATACCAGGATAAGTCAATTTGCAGGATAGGTTTATTATGCACTTTCCATCATCAAATCATATCGGAAATCACACTTTTTTAAGTAGTCATTACATTATGCAAAATACACTATATACTCAATACACACTGATCACAGTTCAGTACTATGTCTGTTTTCAGGACATGATCAGCTTCAGCAAATGTCCTACAGCATCCATGAATTCAAAAAGTATCTTCTACACGCTGACCAGCTTCTCTACGAGACGAACCAGCCTTCCCGCTGACTC